GTCAACTATCTGCTCCATCAATTGCCCGATTGTATTAAGCATCCCTCGTGATAGCACGATGCGCTCGCGGGGGAGGCCAATTTACTCGGTTGAATTCTCCAAGAGAAACTTCATCTTCGTCGATGTTATTGGCGGGGCTTTGTGTTATTCACCTGGTAGGAAACCGCGTCATGGGTGGAAGTACTGTCTTGTAGTTCGACTTTGCGCGCGCGTACATCACGTGACGGCAAGGTAGGAGGCAAGTCTGCGAAAAAAATGCAACTGGATACCGATAGCTTTTCACAGAACATCAGTTAGCAACGCACCAAACGCACCAAAACTGAGAAAATACACCAATACTTACTCGTGCGTTAACTTCATGACTCTCACCAATTTTGGTGTTTGTCAAGATCGTTACCCCGTTGTCTGCGTTGCTCGTTTCATAACTGGCGTTGGGACCGGTTGCTAATTCGTGCTGGCGCAGCAGCATCTTGAACGCGTACTTACCCAGATACGGGCCCATCGACGCCAGCTCTTAATTATTAGTATTGACCACACGACTGCTTACTCGATTGAACTCCGCCTGATAGCGCTCTTCGGCATACTCTTGCATGGTTATGAGATTAGGGCATCCATAGAGAAACCGCCGTCGATAATTTCTTTCAGACGACCATACTTCGATTCAAGTCGGTTATTGGTGTTGTTCATCAGGTATGGAACATCTCCTCTCTTGAACATCACCCATTCATCCGTGGTAGTATCCCAGTGCTGCATGAACGTCTAGTACAGAAAGTTCTCAGTGTCATTGCCCAGTTTATCCAAAAGCTTCTCTTTGAGATCATCATACTCTTGTTGCGATTGAGCGTTTACGAGCCCCATCATGATTACTTTCAGCTCCTGCGTCTCCACTTTGCCGAGACCTCCCAAACGTAAACAGTGCTTCTTAAGCCAAGTTTCAACGTGCCATTTGCACAAGGGCTGCCTGGCGTTAAGCCATGCCTCAATTAGCACGTCCTTCTCGTGCATCGCTTTGTCGGTCATCACTACACGAACCTTCTCCCAGTCCGAATTCTGCTTCTTAAATGAGGCAACGGCAAGAGCTAGATTCTCCTTTCTTTCTGTTCGCACCAGTGCATGATGCACAAATTGACCCTGTACAACACCAAATTCGAACAAAAATCACAGTAAGTTTTGGTACAAACACCCGCAGTTCATACCCGTCCGAACACGTCATGAACAGCAAAGCTGAAGAGCTTGTAGCGGTTAACATTCGTATTGGGGGTCGCATCTACCAAAACCACCTCCGGAACGCACTAAAGAGGCGCCTCTGTCGCGCGGTCTGGAATGTCACGACCTGCACCTGGTTCGACTCATAGTCTGCTACGAACTCGGCCATATTGCCGGCGTTCATCTCACAGAACCGCCCAACACCGATAGTGCTTTTCTGCGTCTGAACGTCCACATTGAAATGTCTGCTTAGCATCTTGCATCATATTGTGCACATCGCGCAGCGTTGTATGTTTGCCTAAGTAAACCCCGACACATTCACATAAATACCGAATTCCACCAAAATCGCACCAAAACAACACCAAACCTGTCCGCTGTCAAAGGAAGGCAAGTATACCGAGAGGTTTGGCCCCTGCTTGATGCATAACAGCAACATCCTGGCGTAGATCTGGGTCTTGTACGCGTCGATTCTCTGCGTAGTCGTGGCATTGGTGCTCGGCCAGGGGGTGGTTGTGCTCCTTCGTGGCTTTTACAACAAGATGAAATCCAGCCCCGTTCGGCGTAGCAGCGACGCGTACGTTTACACGCACCTTACAACCCACATCTCGAACACGTTCGTGCTTTATTTTCCCCACCACGCGCTTCGTAGGTCATTCCATGTATGCACACAAATTCTTCGGCTATATATCTTCCATGACTCAGGAAGCAATGTTCTCCCGTTTGTATCGTTGTTGTTGCTTCCAATAGTAATCTTGCTCCCTCGTTTCTTCGTGCCACTTTGCTTTACCAGAGCCTTCTTTTGTGCCGCAGAGATGGTCTTGTTTCGTGTGGCAATAGAGGTACTACTTTGCGAAGGGAAGCGCTGAAATGTCTTCGACTGGAACTCATCAAATGCGAGGTAGAAAGCATCCCACGACGTCCAATACATCGGGAATCCTTCGAGAAATAGATCAGTAACAGGGCTGTCTGCGTCGGCGTAGTCACTCTCTTCCAATATCACTTCCGATTTCAGTATTTGGTGTAGCTTTCGGTGCTTTTTCGGTGCTTCAACGAAACCAGCTTTCTCCTTACCCTCCGAAGTGGAACCACTACTTGCGGTATTATCGCTCTCACCACCGTTGGTACCGGATGTGCTGCCAGCAGACCGACCATCATCTTCGTAGTCAGGGTCACATGTATTGTTCGAGACGCGTCACCAGATTCTTCATCATCAGACGGAAGACATCGCAGCAAGCTTGCTTCCCAACGCTCATCGTCGGTACGACAGTTTGGAGCCGGCTCATCGCTTGATTTGTAATCTGGAAACCGATCTCCATATATCTCACGTAACCCACGATACTGCTGTGCGGTCAACCGCTTCCGCTATGAACAACTTGCTGGAGTGGAGGGAGTCGACTCACTGGAGCATGCGAGTGTTGCTGTTGCCCTCGCATCATTCGCGTTGAGTCTCCACCTTTTGCAGACGGGACGCTAAGCCGGGATTCGGCACCAGTAGCACCCTGTCAGACTGTAAGTTCTAAACTTTTGGCAGCAAATATGATTTATATTAGACAGAGAACAGGAAATGCAAGGAGAGGGTCCACGAGCAAACGCACCATGGTCACCGCTGTCCTTGACGAATGAGACCTTCACTCTTGATAGCCTGAAGTTTTTTACGACGCAACTGCGTGAAAGCAGCAGGTGATCTGTCGCTCCGAATACTTTATTTTTCCCAAAACCACACCAAACCGAACCAAAAACGCTGTTTTTCTTTGGTCTAGTTTTGGTGGTAGCAGCTTTGGGTTCAATGTTGCCATGAATGTGGCAGTTGCAAGGCGAGACCGAGAGAGGTCATACCAGCATACGAGGAAGAGACGTACGTAATTGCTGAGAGTTAAGTATACATGGGATCTTTCCGGTTGCAGGTGGTGGTGAACAATTCGTGATTGCTGGTGCATTTAGGGAATTATGGACGAAGCGCCTAAGTTGACCGGCAAGGTCATCCAGAAGCTCGTGGGTCTACTACAGCCAAGGGAGGCAAGCTTGGTACTACGATCAAAGGACCCGACAACGACGACCGTTCAGTTTTGACGTGGGTGTTCAATCCACCACAAGGACCGAAGGCGAAGAAATGTGTAGCAGTGGATGGGACCGATGCGAACTGTAGAGATCGTGGCTACGAGAATTGGTTGCTAGAACTCGATGGCAAAGCAGGACCGCCAGAGTCCGTAATAACGCACACGTCGTTTCTAGCGAGCTATCATTATCCAATGGCCCTTCTTCTCCACGGGACAGCGAACTTGACGAAACAACTGAACGAGGAAGATCGGAACGCGACGAGGATCAATGTCGAAGCGGCACGAGCAGCTGTACGAGCAACGGCGGCAGCTCACGACCCAACATCGACCGCAGAAACGAAGTGAAGACAAATCGAAGCAATGGCGACAAAGTGTGCAGCCAGGGGACGAGTGACGGACTGATGAAGCTGCAACGGCGAAGACGACTCAATCGAGCTGGCTAGTATTCTCTCGAATACGAAATACGAACGTCTGGTGAACGTCCGTGGTGGAGTATCGATTATGACCGAAGATGGACTACGAAGAACGGGCGATCGAAAACCGGGTGGGTCTACGTCAACGTGTACGCCGAATTATAAAGCGTCGGACGGGTCGTGGAAGACCCTTGGTATGAGGAAGTCGTATAATACGTTGAGGCGCACGACGCTTGGCAACGATGACCAGTTTGAATTGTCCGGCGTCAGAGAGAGCGATACGAAGGAGGAAACGGTTGCTGACGTGAGAGCCGCACGTCTGGTATCCTGGACCTGGAGTGATTTTTAGTAGTGATCAATGACGGTCGAGGAGACGAAAGACGGTGGAACCGAGCCGTGCGAGCAGTCGCTGGCGTTCGTCTTGAAGGCATCTGGCGTCTTTGAAAGCAACGATCCGCAGACTCGCACGGAGCCGAAAGGCTTTCAGTTTGAAGTTGCATCATGAGGCGCCAAGACAAGAATGCAGATTGAACGAACGGGCGGCTGTTGAAGGAGCCGATGCTCGGGTCAAGAGAACGCGCAAAGGCCTGAGGTCGCCTGAAGACGCCTGATGCGTGGACGGCGACCCTCAACACAGGAACGAGCACTGATGGATGCACCGAAACTTATGGAACGCGCGGACGAGTGAACAGCGGCCACGGACAGAGTGGGCGTGGCAGTCACACAAGTGAAGTGAGTCAGAGCACAGTACAGCAACAGTCATGAAAGCTGACTGAGGGCTGCGAAGCAGGGCAGGCTCCCCGCGGCGTGAGTCCAAGTGGCTAAGTTATTGTCGGCTGTGACCCAGGGTTGAGTCGTAGCCGAAGTGGCGTGCAGGAGGACGTGAACGTAGGAAACGTGGTTGTTAACGAACGAAACGAAAAAGATACGCAAATTATTAAATAGGGATGTTGTCTTATATATGGCACATTGCAGGCGCATGTGATAAAGTTGTCGACCGTCTGTCTGCGAGTCTTAAACGCAATTGGCACACGGAGTCCAAAATCCGTAGCTGGGTACTAAGAAGCTATTGCAGAATAAAAAAAAACAAATGCACACTCATTATTTATCTCTTCGTGCCCGAGTGATGCAAATTTGCATCATCGGTCATTTTCTTGAAAACCACTTGGATTTGTGGCAATTTGAAATTACCAATCAAAAACCCACATTGAGCCGGATGCAACTAAAAAAAAAGCACAAGATAGCGTAAAATAGACGCCTCAAGAGCCACGAATGAAGGCACCCTCAGACTAAAAAAGGCCATCGTCGCAAAGTGAGATGAGAATGGACAAGGATGGAAGACACCACGAGCGCCCGCCCTGTGTACACGCCATTTCGCCACACGCACGCTTCCCATGGGGGCTTTAGCGTCTTTGCTGGAGCTGCTACTACAATAGATTGCTCCCCCCTCGCCATATTTCAGCGGTTTGTATCGCCTGAAATGCTCTGCTCGCTAGTTATGAATACTAATGCGTACGCTGTAACGAAAAACGCACGAAAATGGAAAATTATGACTTTCAACGAGCTTCAGACGTGGATTGGAATTATTTTTTTCATGGGAATTTATCGTATCGCTCGCCCTCGTCCTCAAAGCGCAACTGCTTTGCCGAGTATCACAATCAGGTGGCTACACTTTAGGTCATCCCTCCTAGAATTGCCTGTCTCTGTAAAGAACAGAGTTGATACACAAATTAATATGAATATTTGTATTGGTAAAATATGCACTATCCAACCGGGCACGAAGAGATAGGTATTCTACTTGATGTTCTGGCTAAATACATGGCGTGTCACACGCAAGTTAGAAAGGGAAAACCTAAAGCGTACAAGTACGGCTTGTGTGATCAGAATCCAGACAGAGGTACAATGTACCTGCGGAAGACCTGCTATATTTGAACGTTTCAACCATATTAATAATTTGCGTGCGTTGCAGTCAGATCAAGAGAGAACCGACTGAGGCTTAGTATCAAGAGGCTGACTTCTAGGGGAGCCACCACTAAGCATTGAAGAACGAAAGTCCAGGTCCAGATCAGGATGGAGGGAACGAAAGCTGAAGCGGGCCTCGAGATGAAAACGAGCCTATAACATGGATGTTAAAGATAAGCACGCCGCGGACAGCCTTACATACTTCTCTGAACCGAGAGGTGAAAATATTCCGAGTTTATTGACGACATTGAAAATTGTAAATTCTCGTGTAGGTACTTTGAG